GGTGTGTGTCATAGAAAAGAGTTTTTTTTCATAGAAAAGTTTTGTTGGTTTTTTTTCCATAGAAAAGGGTTGTTTTCTTCCATGGAAAAGGTTTTTTTCCCCCCTGTGGAAAAGGGATTTTTTCTATGGGAAAAGGGTTTTTTTCCTGTGGAAAAGGGGAGATTTTTTCTATAGAAAAGGTATTTTTTATAATGGAAAAGGTTGGGTTTTTTTCCTGTGGAAAAGGTTTTTGTTTTCTGTGGAAAAGGTTTTTGTTTTCTGTGGAAAAGTTTGGTGTTTTTTTTTTCCCATGGAAAAGGTGGGTTTTTTTCCATGGAAAGGCGGGGTTTATTTCCATGGAAAAGGGTTTTTTTTTTTTCCAGGGAAAAGGGGTTTTTTTTTTCTGTAGAAAAGGTTTGGTTTTTTTTTTTTTTCATGGAAAAGTTTCTTTTTGCATAGAAAAGGGATTTTTTTGCCATAGAAAAGGTTTTTTTTTCCCCATGGAAAAGGGTTTTTTTTCCATAGAAAAGGTTTGGGTTTTCTTTTTCCATGGAAAATGGGTTTTTTTACATAGAAAAGGGTTTTTTCCATAAAAAAGGTGGGTTTTTTCCGTGTAAATGGGATTTTTTTCCCATGGAAAAGGGTATTTTTTACATAGAAAAGGGTTTTTTTTCCATAGAAAAGGTTTGGAGGTTTTTTTTTTCCATGGAAAAGGGTTTTTTTTTCCCATGGAAAAGCAAAAACGAAGAGCAAATCGTGAAAATCGTCGCTCTCCATTCTGCTCTGTTGCCCGCCAGCCCTCTCCTGCCCTCCCCCCAGCCACTACGAGCTCTGCGCCCACACCTGCGCCCGCGCCTGCGCCAGCCTCTGCCTGCACCGCGGCCGCTACTTCGAGGTGGGGGCTCGGGCATGTCCCGTGGGTGCTCGCGTCCTTGCATGGGGAGCATCACCCTCATGCACGTCCCATGGGTGCTCGTGTCCTTGCATGGGGAGCCTTGCACCCTTGCATGTCCCATGGGTGCCAGCACCCTCGCACAGGGACCTCTGCACCCATGCACGGGGACCACTGCACCCTTGCATGCTCCATGGGTGCTCACGTCCTTGCATGGGGAGCATTGCACCCATGCGTGCTCCATGGGTGCTTGGACTCTTGCATGGGGAGCGTTGCACCCTTCCATGGCCCATGGGTGCTTGTGTCCTTGCACAGGGAGTGTTGCACCCTTGCATGGCCCGTGGGTGCTAGAACCCTTGCACAGGGACCTCTGCACCCATGCATGGGGAGCGTTGCACCCTTGCATGCTCCATGGGTCCTCGCGTCCTTGCACAGGGACCATCGCACACCCCACGGGCACTCACTTCCTTGCACAGGGAGCGTTGCACCCTTGCGCTCTCCATGGGTGCTCACCTCCTCGCACAGGGACCTTTGCACCCATGCGTGCCCCATGAGTGCTTGGACCCTTGCATGAGGAGCATTGCACCTCTGTGTGCCCCATGGATGCTTGCACGGGGACCTTTGCGCCTTGCACACCCCATGGATGCTCGCATCCTCGCACGGGGAGGCTTGCACCCTTGCATGGGCACCATCTCACGCCCCACGGGCGCTCACACCCTTGCACGGGGACTGTTGCACCCTCGCACGCCCTTCTCCACCTCCCGCACCTTTGCGACCCCGCCGCGCACAGCCTTCTTCCCCCCCCCCCTCCTTTTTGG